ACCAGTCAAAGACGTGGGCTCACAAGGATCTGCGTTCCCTAAATGTCCAGCTGTCCAGCCACCTCGGAGCAGCGCCCAAGGAAACCTACAGACGGCGACCCCCTGCAATGAAGCACAGCGCTGGGGAGCAGTGCCCGCAGGAAGGCAGACCGCTCCAGAGTCCCAGCCAGACATGGCTGGCACCGATCTCCACGAAAAACCTCGCGCAGCGCCCACTTCGGCAGTACATGGCTCGCTCATACGCCCTGCCATACACGACAGATATGTAGCCATACACGACAGCCACATACGACAGATGTGTACAGAAACCCTGCCAGAAACCCTGCCATACACGACAGCCACATACGATAAATATGTGCAGAAACCCTGCCATAAACCCTGCCATATACGACAGAGATGTACCCGGCTCGCGAGGCAGCACCCCGCAGCCATATGCGACAGACTCGCGCTCGGCTCGCGCCCCCCCAAGCCGCAATCATATGTACGTTCCGTCGAGCTCGCGCCCCCCCGAAACAAAACCCCTTGCAAATTGATTCAGCTTCGCGCTCCCGAGGGCACAACGCCACGTAATTGACGGCCGTGTCGCGTCTTAGGAGCCACACTGTTTCCTGTAACTTAGTATGGCTGGGCACTTCCGAAGCGACTTACCCACGGAGGCTGCCCAAAAAACGCCACCCTTCCACCGGAGCAGAGCCCGGTGACTTCTCAGATTCCAAAATTTTGTTCGGGGGGTGCTCGTTGCCCCTTCCCTGTAGTTTCCTGAAAAGGTTCGGCTCTGGACCCGACGCAACAACTATTCGTACATAGCTCGGGGTGCGCGCTCCCGAAGCTCCGAAGCCTCGTAAGTTACAATGGTAGCGCGCTCCCGATATCACCATCCAGCATAAGTTGCTACGGACGCCAGCTACAGGGGTCGCGTTGCCAGTGGATTGTGTTGGACGGTCGGCAAGGTCCTCCCTGACTTCTTCCTGCTCCTCCTCCTACGATTCGCGACTATGTTCGCGCTCTTCCCAGTGGAGGCGACCCATTGCGCAATCTTCCCCGCGTAGGCGACGAACCGTCGCATCTCGAGGAATCATGGGCAGGGAGGGAAGAGAAAAATCAGTCTCAGGGGAAAAACCCTGCGTAGTCGGGGCGCCAGCCCACCCGTCGGTGCGCTGGGTTTGCGTCGTGCTCATGCCGCCGGGCAGCTTTGTTGGACAGCCGCGCAAGCCAGGCGGTTCCAGGAGAGTGTCGACACAGGCTCCCTGTTCAGTTGCAGCCTGCTGGCCCAGTGCTGTAGCAAGACGTCTGCAATGACCAGGTCGTAAGCCGATGTCGCGCATGTGTCGATCACTCATAAGCCGTACCTCAGCCATGCGCTCAAAACCGTGCCCAGCGAAGCTCGGCGCATACATCCCAAGACCATGCTGACACAGAAAAGCGACGACCTCGGGCTCGCAGTCTGTGGTAGGGCCGTTGGCGGGCGGGGCCGCCGAAGCGCCACATCTTGGCCCAGACGGAAAATTATCTTGTTCTGCTCGCTGACGAGCCGCGCGCTGTCTCGCGCGGCGGGCTGCCCAGACTGTGGTGGCGGCCCTGCTGACTATGCCATTCCTGGCTGTGCCAACTTCGCTGAATACCATGTGGGGGACCATGCTGACTGTGCCAACCTTGACTGTGCCAGCCCCGTGGGTCTTGCCACTCTGACCAGGCCCCGCCAGAAAGCCACGCGCTCATCACGGAAATGTGGACGGGGAAAAACGAGACACGTGAAGGGAAGGGAACGGGCAGAGGCCTCCTGACGGCTCGCAGATTGAGCCAGAAAGGGGGCTTGAGCCAGAGGGGCTACGGACTTGAGCCAGAGGGGGGTACGGACTGGTGGAGAGACGCGAAGCGTGAAGAGTTTGGCTTATCGCCTCAGGGTGGAATCCGATGTTCAACAAGCCTGGCGGGCCTCGGACAAGGAGACAAGTGCAGTCTGGAAATCAGAAAGATTGTCCCAACACTCCCATCTGCCAAGATTCGCCATCGACGCTCGAAGATCGAGGAGGGATGTTGTGCACGTTGTTGGCCGACTTGTTTCGAGCATGTGCCGAAAATGTGTTTCGTAGGATGCCCAGACTGACTGACTGACTGGCTGGCTGATTGACTGAAAACCGCACCTGTTGGCAGGCCGTTTTACTTCTTGCGGCCGAGGGAGCAAAATGTGGGCAAACCAGTAGCAGGCCTTTTCTTACGTCTGGCAGCTGAAGGCACAATTCATGGCGCAACATCAAACAGGCCGTTGCAGGTTCGGTAGCCGCGGGCGTAAACCATGGCGCAACCAGAAGCATGATGCTGCACGATCGGCTGCCGAGGGCGCAACCTATGGCACGACAAGTCGCCGCAACCAAAAGAACACCCAATGGCGCGACGGATGGATGGCATAAAACATGGCACCGGCAATGGCGCAACCTACGCAACCTATGTGTGGCGAAATGCGCAACACATGGCGCAACCAATCCCGAGACCCACGGCACAACACATGGCGAAAACTACAGTGAAACCCATGCGTGGCGCAGCCCATGGCGCAATCTTTGGCATGGATGGCGCAACACATAGCGCAACCCAAACACAACTCATTGATAGCTCAACCTATGGCGCAACCATGGGTGCCGCAATCACAGGTGCAACCCAGGGATGGCGCAAACTGTGGCGGACCCCATGGTGCAATGTGTATGATTTATGGCGTTTGTCGGTATAAGTAAGTACAGACAGTGTACATACATACATATTTACATCGCCTGTGCACATGTATGCGTACAGACATGTATACACACAAATGCATATGTTACATATGTGTAGTGATGTACCTCTGAATGTGTGCGCACACATCTATATATATGTATATATATATGTGAAAACGCATGCATGCCCGCCAGTCCCCTTGGGGCCAACAGGGTGCGTGGACCAGACTGTCGCGTTCCCCACGCCACTTCTTATTACCAAGGGTCTACAGGGTCTCTGATCTAGCTCCACTGGCGTAATGATTTAAAGTTGCGCGAGAGGGAGGCGAAACAGAGCCGGCTACCACCTCAGAGTCACGGCCTCAGGATTCATGGGGGGCGTCGGGACACGTAAAGTACCACATCTTCGCGCCCCCGACACAACACACCCTGGGACATGAAGTACGCTAGATTTGCGTTCCCGAGGCAACATTCGCTAGTACATTGCATCGGAATCGCGCTACCACAGCCACAACTTTTTGCAAATTACACCAGATCGGCGCCCCCGAAGCCGCAAACCAGTCAAAGACGTGGGCTCACAAGGATCTGCGTTCCCTAAATGTCCAGCTGTCCAGCCACCTCGGAGCAGCGCCCAAGGAAACCTACAGACGGCGACCCCCTGCAATGAAGCACAGCGCTGGGGAGCAGTGCCCGCAGGAAGGCAGACCGCTCCAGAGTCCCAGCCAGACATGGCTGGCACCGATCTCCACGAAAAACCTCGCGCAGCGCCCACTTCGGCAGTACATGGCTCGCTCATACGCCCTGCCATACACGACAGATATGTAGCCATACACGACAGCCACATACGACAGATGTGTACAGAAACCCTGCCAGAAACCCTGCCATACACGACAGCCACATACGATAAATATGTGCAGAAACCCTGCCATAAACCCTGCCATATACGACAGAGATGTACCCGGCTCGCGAGGCAGCACCCCGCAGCCATATGCGACAGACTCGCGCTCGGCTCGCGCCCCCCCAAGCCGCAATCATATGTACGTTCCGTCGAGCTCGCGCCCCCCCGAAACAAAACCCCTTGCAAATTGATTCAGCTTCGCGCTCCCGAGGGCACAACGCCACGTAATTGACGGCCGTGTCGCGTCTTAGGAGCCACACTGTTTCCTGTAACTTAGTATGGCTGGGCACTTCCGAAGCGACTTACCCACGGAGGCTGCCCAAAAAACGCCACCCTTCCACCGGAGCAGAGCCCGGTGACTTCTCAGATTCCAAAATTTTGTTCGGGGGGTGCTCGTTGCCCCTTCCCTGTAGTTTCCTGAAAAGGTTCGGCTCTGGACCCGACGCAACAACTATTCGTACATAGCTCGGGGTGCGCGCTCCCGAAGCTCCGAAGCCTCGCAAGTTACAATGGTAGCGCGCTCCCGATATCACCATCCAGCATAAGTTGCTACGGACGCGCGCAGCCAGCCAGCTAGCAGACAACCCAAACCAACTGCCATCCATCGATTTGGACTACAAGCCGATCCGCCGCGTTGCCAACCAGCCAACTGACAGGAAAAGAGACTAACCTACCAACCGAGCGTGACCATGAAAGCATTCATAGGGAGTGCCAGCGGTAGAGGACGAAGCCCTTTACAACCTATATATATATATATATATATATATATATACACAGCCATACATACATACAGTCACACGGTATACATGTATATATAAATATATATACATACACATGTATATATTTATACATACACATTCACGCAGCCATCGTCATAAGGAGTGCATTGTAAGAAACTAATGGATTGTTTCTGACCGCGGCGGGTCTCGGCCGCAAACAGGTTCCTCTACATGTATATGAGGAGCGGCCCGAAAGCGGGCTATGTTCAGCGTCTTGACTGCATGTGTGTGTGAGAGTGAGCGGGTGTGTTTCTCTCAAGCAAATCTGTAAGCACGGTGGTGCTGCAAGTTGACCTCAGAAGGCGGCCGTGCCTTCTTGCCGTGACCCACATGACAACATCAACGCTGACGAAGAGGCCAGGCCGAGGAGCAGGCTGCATGGGTCAGCTGGAACTGCGAGGATGTGGAAAGGCCCTCCTGGTTGCCACGGGGCTACGCCCGACTTGCGCTGACCATTTAGGCTGGTTGTGGAACCGAGCGGCGAACTGCATTGCCAGTGGACGTTTTTGGACCTTTTTCTCGGCTCCAGGGGTCAGGATCTGGGTGGGCAGATCTCAAACTGACGACCCACTCTGCCTCCCCCTCCTCACCCCACACTCCTCTTTCGCCTCTGACCTTGGAATTGATCATCGCGCCGAGCATCTGAAACCGCCCGGCCAAGTGCTGCAGCACCTCCTTCAGCTGTTCGTTCTCCGCCTCCAGCCTCGCCTGCTTCTCGCGGCAGAGGGCCACCTCCTCGGTCAGCGAGGCGGTCTTCTCCTTCTGGAGGCGGCTGGGGAGCCTGAACCAGTTGGGACCCCAGAAAATTGGTCCAGCGGGGGGATGAAGCCAACTCCATCCAAAATCGGTCCCCAGATCCCTCCCGGGGTCGATCTGCTGCGGTTTCTCACCCCGAATCCGTTTCTGAGAGCCCAGGGCCCACCCCCAAACGGTCCCTGGAGACAGAAAAAAGGCAACCTGATACTGCCACGAACCCCGACCTTGAAAATGAGTTGTGAGAGTGGCAGTGACAAGGAAGGATCTGCCTCTTCGGGGCTTCAGTAGACGACGGAGAAGAGTTCCGACGCAATATGCGTTAATCCTGGTGTTCGTCTTATGTCGTTCCTGGGCGCTTTTTGGAGTGTCTTGGAGGCTCTTGTGCTCTGTGGGGAACACGTTTGGGTTCCAGTCGCCTCGCGGGATGTGCGTTCCAGACGCGCAGACAATGCGCGTTGCATGGTTTCGCTGGGTCCTCTGAGGCGCACATGGGCAGATTTTTGTGGGTGCATTCAGGGGCCTCTTGTGGGCGTGTGGGGGTGTTCTCGAGGCCTCGTCAAAGCTCCTGGGCGGTCTCTGGGTTCTCCCCCGCCGTCTGGCACCTTCAGAGACTGTGCTGGCGGTGGCTCTGGATTGGTTTCGCGGCCGTCATGGGGGTTTCGTCTGCCGTGTTTGGGCGGATGAGTAGGGCTCTTGATTATTGCGGTTCTGTTGGGCCATCGTGGGACCCCTTGACGGACGTTTTGGGTGGTCACGTGTTCTCTCGACTGCTGAGAGCAAGCGGGCAAGACTGGCGAGACCCAACGGATTACGCACGGAAAGGGACGGAAGCGTAGAAACACGAGTGGGGGGGGGGGGGGCAGAAGTATGGGCTGAGGAGAAGGCCAGTGCAATTTCCTTCAAAAGAGCGACGACGGCGACAGTGACGTCGGAGATGTCCTCTTGGGGCTTATTGGAGGCGTCTTGGGCCGTTCTGGCAGTCTCCCGGGAGCGATGAGGAGGGGGGAAGGAGGAAGGAGGGGACACGGAGGGAGGAAGGGCGTTGGGAGGAAGCTGGCGGTAGGGACGGCGATGAAGACCTCGCGCATGGAGGTGGGTGGCGCGGATGTCAGGACAGCTCACCGCTTCGGCCCCACCGCAGGTCGAAACGGCGTGCGAACGCACTAAGTTGATTCCCGTGTTGTCCGTTTGACGCTGTGACTCTTTGTCGCGGCGTCTCCAGCCATCATGGGGCCCGCGTGGGCAGTCTTGGAGCCCTCGCGGGGCCTCTTCAGCCTTCCTGGGGACCTCTTGGGGGCCTCTTGGGGCCTCTTGGGGGCTTCTTGGGGGCCTCTTGGGGGCCTCTTGGGGATCTCTCGGGGGCCTCTGTGGGCGGAAAGCTCGAAGTGTCAGCCCGTGCTCTACATTTGGGGCCCTTCTTGGGGTGTTCCTGGAGCCCTCTTGGGCCGTCTCTGAAATCTCCTGGGCCGTCTTGGGGGTCTCTTGGGCCGACTGGCCGCCCCGTCAGGGGCCGCCTCTGCGGCCGTCCTGGGGCGATCCGTGGGGCCTCCGAGGCGGGGACACGAAAAACATAGAATTGAGCAGAGACCGACCGTCCCGGTATTCCTATAGTCCTAGAACCCCAGTGTGTTCGAATAGCAAAAACAATGTTCTTAGAACTTGAAACCCGATGCGTTGAAGCAAGACAGTCCCAGCCAGAAATGGTCTAAGAACACTTCGTGCAAGCCACAAAGGGTTCTTAGAACATTATTTGGCGGTGCTATAGGCGAGCCAGGGCGCTTCGCCACTGCTTGAGAAAAGGCGGGGGCACGAAAAACATAGAACCCTGCAGGAGACCCATCAAGTTGCCTCTCGGAGCCCTCTTGGAGGTTGCTGAGCGAGTCTTCGGGGCTTCGTGGGCCGTCAAAGAGGCCGTCTTGGACGGTCTGGGCCGATCAGTCGGAGACTCCTGGTCCTCCTGGGGCCGCCCGAGCCGCCCGGAAACGCGTCTGCAAGATTCGTGCCGAACGTCGGGCGTTCCGCCAATGGCCGGGGCCAGACTTCGTGGGGTACCCCGCGCAGGCCCCCCCAGGGGGATGCACACGGCAACCCCTTTCCGCAAGGTCGGGGAACAAACCCTCCCGACCCCAGCCAGCGCCGATTCTTGGCGGCGCGCACACGGGGGTAGGGGGCAGGGGGGAAGGCCTTATAGGAGGATGCTGGCATGGCCCGCGCCTTCTAAGAGACAGGGGTGGTTCTCAGAAGCCTGCCCCACTCCCCCTACCCCACTCTGCGCGTGGCTCCGATTCTCCTTCATCTTCCTGCTCATCTGGCCCATCATCTGCGTGCCCCACGCCCGCAGTTCGTGCGCCCTGCCAGCGACGTGGTTGTCGATCACGGCCTTGATCTCCTCGGGCTGTGCGCAGGAAGGACGCTCGGACACAAGAGAATCCCTGACTCGTTGAGTGGGGACCTATGCTAGGAGAGCAAGCACAAGGGAATATACATACATATATATATATATGAATATGTATATATATATACACGTACACTGAAACTATGCGCGCAGTTCGCGCGCGCTGAGGTTCTCGTGCGCCAGTCAGTATAGCATCAACAGGCGGGCACGACCACCCGTTCACAAAGATTGAAACATGGGGGTTACATTGCGAGATTATGAACAGAAGTCCGTGTAAGGGGACGAAAGGAGCTTACACGCGCGTTTGGGTGAGTTTCTTACGCGCGTTGCTGCGCAGTGTTGCGTAAGCCAGCAAATACAAAATCAAAAGGGAGGGAGGCGGATGAACAAGGTAGTTTCTGGCCCCCAGGACCATTACTTTCTGATCTGGGATTCGGGTGCCTCAAGAAGCCACAGAACCAGGAACATCGAACGTCAACTTTTGGTTCTCCTCCTCGTCCATCTCCACCTCCTCCACCTCCTCCTCCTCCTCCTCTTCCTCCCCCTTCTCCCTCTCCTCCTCCTCCTCCACCTCCTCCCCTCCACCTCCTCTCCTCCTCTCCTCCTCCTCCTCCTCCTCCTCCTCCTCCTCCTCCTCCTCCTCCTCCTCCTCCTTGGGACGGGGTTGTTTAGGTTTCGTGCCGGATTTCCATCGTGTGTGGGGACCTCTGAGGGCGCACTTGAAACTGTCTTAAGGCCAATCCTGGCAGTTGAAGGGGTGTCTGGGAGGGCAGCTGCGGAGACTGTAGGGATCGTCTCGGAGAGCTGGGGACCTCGGCGTTGGGGTGGGTACTCTGCAGTTCCCTGGCGTTTCCCTCAGGCCCCCCCAAGCCCCGAGGAGAGCATCGGATGCCTCCAGGGGGGCCCGCAAGGTAGCACTGGCGGAGAAGAGGCGACGGGGCGGGAACCGCTCGGAACATGCAGTCTGTCGCGGACGTGCCGAGGAATGCCGGGCGCCAAGGCGCGGCTGCGACACAGGCAGCGGTGGACGGAGCCGAGGGCCGTTGAGGGGCTGCCCTTGACAAGGTACACGACGATGATGACGTGGCACAATGCAAGCACGAAGCTGACACAAATCCAAGCAAATGTACTGCGGGAGTTGTGCAGGATTTGTGTCGGCCCATGGCCCTCTGGGGGCGCACTTTGGCAACTTTTGGGGGGCGTCTGGCGGTGCGCCCTGAGAGCCTGCAGAGTCCATCTTGGGGAGCTTGGGGCCCTGGCGTGGGGGTGGGTATACTCTGAGGCTCCTTGCAGCTTTCCTGAAACCCCTCCACGCCCCGGGGAGAGCATTGGATACCTCCAGGGGTGCGCGGCTACTGCTGGAGATGCATTGGTTTCGCGTCGGACTTGCATCGGATTGGGGCCCTCCGGGGGCGCACTTGAAGCAGTCTAGGGCCCATTCTTGTCAGTTTTGGGGGCGTCTGCCGGGGCGGTTTGGAAGCCTGCAGAAGTCGCCTTGGGGAGCAGGGGGCCTCGGCGTGTGGGTCGGCACTCTGAAGCTCCTTGGGGCTGTCCGGAAGCCCTCCCAAGCCCCGAGCAGAGCATCCGATGCCTCCGTGGGGAGCCCGCAAGGTAGCGCCAGGAGTGCCTGACAAGAGCGAACGACGGACACAACACTAACACACAGCCGACATAAACTCGCCGACCCTGTCGGCGTGTGTGAGGGGCTTGTCCGTTCAAGTCGTCATCTCCGTCATTCGTTGGTCGTCGTCACTGTCGTCTCCTTTCCCTGCCTCCCCCCTTTCCCTGGGCTCGTCGAAGCTCCCCCCTTTCCCAGGGACCTCCTCAGCGCAACGTCGTAATTGAGTCGAAGGGAAGCCCCTTTCCTTCGATTCCTCCCCCGCCGAGGGGGGGGGGTCCTGGGGGGCGGGGTCAGACGCCCCCCCTGGGAGTCCCGGAGCCTAAAAAAGCTCCAAGACGGGCCAAGAGTGCCCCAAGAGGCCCCAAAGACAGTCCAAGAGAACCCCGAATCGCCGAACGATCTGTCCAAGACGCCTTGACGGCCTCCAGACGGCCCAAGAGGCCTGCAAAGCGCCCCAAGAGGCCTCCAGAACATTCCCCACGAGAGCCCCAGGAGGCAAAATTCATGGATTTCCCATACGTGTTTGGAAGATTTTGGCGTTCTTGCCTCTTCCTCGTCCCGACGCGCCAAGACGGCCCAAGAGGCCCCCAAGATCGCCCCGAGACGGCCCAAGAGGCACCCAAGAGGGTCCCCAACGGCCGAAGAGGGCCCCAAGACGGCCCAAGACGCCTCCAAGACGGCCCAAGAGGCCCCCAAGACGGCTTCAGGAGAATGCCCAGACGGGAGAACTGAACGGACATTTCGAGCTCTCAGCCCCAGGAGGCCCCCAAGAGGCCCCGAAGAAGCCCCAAGAGGCCCCAAGAGGCTCCCAAGGGGCCCCCAAACTGCCCCAAGACATCCCAGGAGAGCCCCAAACTACTCAGGAGGCCTCCAAGAGTGTCTCGAGACGGCGCAAGAGGAGCCCTGGACGGCCCAAGACGACCTCAAGAGAGCCCCAGGCTGCCCCAGAAAGCCTCTGGCCTCCTTCTCCTCTTCCTCCTCCGCCTCCTCCTCCTCCTCCTCCTCCTCCTCCTCCTCCTCCTCCTCCCCCACCCCTGCTCCCCCTCCTCCTGCTCTGCTCTGCCTCCTTCTCCTCCTCTTGCTTCTCCTCCACATCCTTCTCCCCCCTCTTCCTCCCTCCTCCACCTCCTCCACCCTTCCTCCACCTCCCACTCATCTTCCTCCTCCTCCACCCCCCCCTCGTTTTCATCTTCGTCCTTCTCAGGGTCGGCGGCACCGGCCGTAAGGCTTTCGCAATCGAAGACAATCTATTGCCGGAGGTGCGTTGGTGCCGTGTCGGATTTGGGTCGGTCTGCGGCCCTCTGGAGGCATACTTGGACACCGTCTTGGGGCCTATCTTGGGAGTTTAGAGAGCGTCTGGGGATGGGGCGTCTGCGGAGCCTATAGGGGTCGTCTTTGGGAGCCTGGGGCCCTGTGGACGGGGTGGGCACTCTGAGGTTCCTCGGCGCTTTCCTCAAGCCTTCCCCGGCCCCGAGGAAAGCATCGGATGCCTCCAGGGGGGCCAGCAAGGTAGCACCAGGAAAGCCTGAAGAGAGCAGCCGACGGGCAGAAGACAAGCACGAAGCAGACACACATCTAAGACAATGTCCTGCGGGAGTTGTGTCGAATTTGTGTCGGCCCGGGGCCCTCTGGCGGCGCATTGGCAGGGCGTCTTGGAGCCAATGTTGGCAATTTGGGGGGGGCGTCTGGCGGTGCGTCCTCTGCTGCCAGAGTTGCGTCGGTTTCGCATCGGACTTGTATCGGTGTGGGGCCCTCTGGGGGCGCGCTTGAAACAGTCTCAGCCCCAAGGTTGGCAGTTGAGGTGGCATCTGCCAGGGCGCCCCGTCCCCATCGTCCTTCTCCTCGTCCTCTTCCTCATGCACCCCCTCCCTCCTCCCTTCTACCTCTACATCGCCATCTTGTGTCACACCCCTGTCATTTGGAAGACTCTCGAAACTCGCGTTCGGCTTGGGTGGGGTCTCTTGGGCGCCTCTTTGGGGCTTTGGTGGGCCGTGCGGGGCCGCTGGGGTCTCTCGGGGCCTCCTGGTGGATCCTATGAGCCTCTTGGGGGGCCCGTCAGGGTCCTCTTGGAGCCCTCGGAGGAGCTGTGGGAGATGCCTCTTGGGGTCTCTACAGGGCTCACGCGGAGCTTACGCAGGGGCGTGTTCGATGATTTAGTGTTTCGGAAGCCTCCCGCAAACCTCTGGGCTGCTTCGGAAATGCACGGCAGCTCTCAGGCCCCCTTGGGCCGTCCAGGGGCCCTTCGAAGCCGCCTTGCCGGGCTTGGGCTGTCTTGGGGTTCTCTTGGGGGGCTCTTGGGGGCCTCTTGCGGCTATCTTGGGGGGGCCTCTTGAAGCTCGGTCGGGCCGTGCTGGGGCCCTCGTGGGCGGTCTCGGGACCCTCTTGGGCCGTCTACGGGCCCTCTTGAGGGCCTATGGCCCGACTTCGGGCAGTTTACGCGGCCTCTTGGGCTGTCTTGGTGCGATCTCGCATGCCGTCCGAGCCGCCTTGGGCTGCTCTTGACCAGCAACGGAGGGAATCTCCTAAATATGTCAAACACCTAGGGGACATCAATCTTTCTGGCATCCTCAGACTCACTCGGCGGTCCTCTTGGGGCCTTTGGGGGCATCTTGGGAGCTTGGTGAGCTGTCTTGAGGCCGTACTGGGCCGTCTTGGAGCGTTCTTGGGCCGTCTTGGGGCCTCTTTGGCGCCCTCGGGCCCTTCTTGGGCCTTTCTTGGGCGTCTGTGAAATGTCTTAAGCCGTCTGGGGTGCCTCTTGAGCAGTCTTGGGTGGCTCTTGGAGCTCTCTTGGGCTGAAGCTGGGGGCCATTTCGAACGCGGCAGGAGGACCAAGGAAGAGGGGGTCAGATTGTTGCTCCCCCAGGCCTTACCCAGACATAACTACATTATGCGTGTATTATGTGACAGCGATCGTCGGAACATTCATGTTCGTAATGCTATTTTCTCGTATCATTAGTTATCATGTTTGGTATTCGTAGCATCCTGATTCTTATTCAAATGATGTTCTCTCCTTCTTCTTCTTCTCAGGTTGTATGATGCTCGGCGAAGGGGGGCGGGCGGGCGAGGGCGGGGCCCTTTCTGGGAAGGCAGGGGGGGGGCGTCTTGGGAGGGCCCCGCCCCTCTCTGCTTAAGCAGGCGGCAGACGCCCCAGCACCTGAGACGAGCTCCTCCTCCTCCTCCTCCTCCTCCTCCTCCTCCTCCTCCTCCTTCCCCGCCTCCTCCTCCTCCTCCTCCTCCTCCTTCCCCGCCTCCTCCTCCTCCTTCTCCTCCTCCTCCTCCTCCTCCGCCGTCCAGGATCTGAGGGAGGCCAACGCCAAAGACTACGAGGGCTCTGGCACCCCTCGCTCCGCGTGGCCATCCCCCAACTCCAGGCCCCCTGCACGGGGAATCCTGGTGAACCAGGACGCCGGCGCACCCGCGGAAGCTGCAGCCGTGGTTCGAGACAGCATGCTCTGCGAAGCAGTGTAAGACGAAACCAGGACGAGTACAGCATCGGGTCAGGATGCATCGTGCAGCTCTGAGATCCGGCGGCGCTGAAGAATGTCTCGGGCGCCGCGGACTTCTCAGAGCGTTCCGGAAAGCTCTGGAACAGATTAATCCTCGTCCTAGCCCCGTCCCAAAATTCCCACAGACGCTCGCAATCACCACGACGTGCTCTTAGAACACACCAGCGCTCGAACAGTGAGACAGCCATGATCCCAGGCCACACAGCCGACGTCTCAAAAAACAAAAGACTGCCTCCGACAGAAGTGCTGCAGCAACCTCGCACACCTGCAAGCCGCAAAAAGGATCTCAGAACTGTTGCTGGCGGGCACGTGAAGACTGGAACGCTCCGCCACGGCTTGATCCTCGGGGCCGCTCCGAGAGGGCTGCCTCTCAGGGTGGGCGGGCTGCCGAAGAGAGGGAGCGCCGTCTCAGAAGGCACGCCCCCCCCCCCCCGGCCCACAGCCGGCCCTCCCGGACTGACACGTCGAGCCCCTCCCACCAAGATAGCCCCTCGAGCCCGCCAGAAGCCCCCGAGGCCCCTCCAAGAGGCCCCAAGGGGCCTCCAGCCGTGGCCACGGGGAGGGGGGGGGGGGGGCGGCCCTCGGGAGGCCCAAGAGAAGGCAAAAACTCTCGGATCCCGCCCTCCTCTCGCCAGCCCCCACCCCGCCTCCCCGCTCGGCGACGCGCAGGAGTGGCCCCTGCGCGGCTTCGGGGAGCCGCGGGGAGGCCAAGTCCAAGCGAGCAGGCCAACGCTGGGGGACCCTATGCAGTCAGCGTGCTACCATAATGGGTGCCGGTTCAGGAGCGGAGGGGATGTTCTGGCCACGGCGAGCCTCGGCCACGAATGGGCTCCCCCGACCTAGATCTAAGGAGCGACCCGAAAATCGGAGCCCGTTCGGAGACCAAAAGGTCCTTATCATTTCAGCGTCCTGACCTGCTGGGCTCCGCACCAAAGGTCACTCCGGCGAATGGCCACTCTCACGCGCCGACACGGACACGCGCGTTGAGCGCCGGCTGCCTCGATGAACTCGGAGGTCTCTGGCGCGTTGAGCCCCAGCTGCGTGAGCTTCTCCTTCGGGGCCCGACGACCACCACTAACTGCCACCACGACCGCAGGGGACGACGATGACGAGGATCAGGGCGAGGGCATCGAGGACGAGGGCAAGGACGGCGACGGCGACGGCGACAGGCAAACGAGGACGGCGGCGGCGGCGGCGACGACGAAGACACCCCAAACTCTCGCACGCTCCGATCGATCGATCGATCGACGACGATGACAACGAACGAGCTTCACCAGCGCGAACATTGCGAGGCGGGGGTTTATCCATATCCACCGCCTGTGAACCAACGTCCAGGTGCCCCAGCGGGCGGTGGACATGGATATATTGCGGCCCCCAGGGGCCCGAATATGTCCATATCCACCGCCTGCCGGGGTCCCCGAGAATCGATCCCCCAGGCGGTGGTCATGTGTAAATTCCCGCCTCGGCCGCATATCCTCCAGGTTCGCGGCCGCGGTCTGTGCGGCGGCCGCCTTGGCGTCGATGTCTGCCTCTCGGGGAAGGGGCCCGCCCGCCGCTCCACATTTACTCAATATGAATACCACTCTCCCTCTTCCCTCGATGGCGGCCTGAAATTATTAGACCCCCCCCGCGTACTGTTTTTTTACACACAGGATTCCCGGGAGTTGGGTTTTCGCCGGCGTTTTTTTCAAAATGCTGCTCCCGCTGCAGCGTGGGCCTCATTTTCGGATCGGTGTTTGGCCTCCGTCGTTCAGGATGGCGTTCTCGCCCCAGCGCGGGCCTCTTTCTCGCGCGCCCATCCGCCCGCCACCACCGCGCCGCACCACCACCACCACCACCACCAGCACCAGCAGCACCACCACCACCACCACCACCACCACCAGCAGCACCACCACCACCACCACCACCACCACAACCACGCACACACGCACGCACGCACGCACGCGCACCACCACCCACTACGCACGCGCGCGCGGAGCCACAGGTCCGCTACGACACGCGTCCGCGGATAGAGAAAATCAGCGCCATGGTAAGGGATGGGAGGGAGGGGTAGGACGTCAGATATGACGCGAGCGCACCTAGCTTGCCCCCCCCCTCCCCCCCCCCCTCCCCCCCCCCACACCCACACCCACACCCACACCCACACCCACACCAACACCCACACCCACACCCACACCCACACCCACCCACCCACCCACCCACCCGCACATACACACACAACCAGCCTCTCAAAGGAGGGCGCCCACCCCACCAGGGGGGGGAGGTGCAAGATGGAGGGGGAACGAGGAGCATGTGCGGGGGTTGGGAGGAACAGGGAGAAGGAGCAGGAGGAGGAGAAGGAGGACCAGAGCAAACACAAGATGCCTCAAAGATGCTGCAAGACACCCTCCCGTCCCAAGTCCCTGTTCGTTGATGCTTACCAGCTTTCTCTTCCCATTTCACGAAACACTTGATTGCACCCTATTCTAAAAACGGCTTTCAGGCGACAGCCCTATTCTAAAAAGGAACTAACTGCCTTGTACCCGTCCAGCGAATAATCAGAAACGCGCCAAAATATGATCATACAGTCGAGCGAGGTGTCAAGCGACATCCCGGCTTTGAAAAAGAACCGCAACCCATCTGCGCAACTCTCAGCGGCGAGCGAGTGGGGGGAAGTGCGAAGGAGGTCTGCTCACCAGGCTCGGAGGTCCCCCTGCCATCTGAGAAGTTTTCTAAGGAAGGCGCGAGGGCTTCTGAGAAATCCCGCCGCCTTCTCAGAAAGCCTGCTCCTTCCCACTTCCCCCCCCCCCCCGCTCGCCGCCGAAACTCATCCACGAGACGTCGCATCTGGCCATGAGCACCGAAGAAAGTCTCATGATGGGCGTGTTTTCAACCACCACCATCATAAGTTGGATGGGGGGTAAGAGGAGGAGGACGAGGAGGAGGAGGAGGAGGACCCTCTCCCCCTCCAACTTATGGTGGTGGTGGTGGTGGAAAGCAAGCCCATCATCTCAAGCGCAACCCCCACATGTTGGAAACAGAGACGCCCTCAGTCCGTGCAGCTGCACCGCAAGTGCAGGCGCTTCCGGGCTCCAGCAGAGGAGCTCCACCGCACGCCCAGGTGCTGGCAAGGCACAGCCCTTCACCCGTGCAGCTGCTGCATGTGCTCGGAGTCCGGGCCCTTGCAGTTTAGGAGGCAACTACTGGGAGGTTTTCGTCGGACAAGTTAAAGAGGATTAAGCCCCATGTGGGAGCTGTTACGCCGGATGGGCCTCGGACTAAGCAGGATTAAGCCGGATGAAGCGGGATTCAGCGGGATTAGGCGGGATTAAGCCAGATTAAGCCCGATGTCGGACCAGGGCAAAATCAGAATTTAACCTCCCAGGAAATGCATCCAAATGCAGTGCAGACGTCCGCAGCGACAGCCCGATTCACGAGCGACGCGCCCATCCGTATCCGCGCCCTCGCGGTCTGCGTTCCGGGGCGCGGCCCCGCGGATACACGGTCGCACGGGTACGTTATCCGCGCGGTCGCGGCCCAGGGGCCCAGCCCGCCAGGCCGCCCATACGGAGATGTTCTTCGTCCATGACCAAGTACGAAAAAGGAACCGTCAACAATCCTTGCAACTGCACCGAGCTTGTACAAAGAATGTTCGCGGGGCTACGGCCAGAGCTCCGTTTTGAAATCAATCCCCCCATCCATCCTCGTACATGTTGAAAGCTTTTGCAGCGAGTGGGCGCGGCAGTGAGGCGAGTGCCCCATTTTGAAAAGGACCTCATCTTTCCTTGTACCAAGTGCAACCTTGTACAACGAGAGCGGGCGGCGCAAGCGCGACGGCCTCTCGTTGTTGCAAATGTGCAATAAGAATGCGGGCGGCACTATGGCGAGAGACACCCGATGACCCCCCCCCCCCTTCTATCCATGAAGCTGTTGCACGTTTCAAGCCTCAGGACCAAAGTGGCGATGGAGTCTCAGGGGAAACGCCCAGTCCGCCCCTCTGAAACGTCTGGGTGTGGGACATGGAGAAGTTACCTATCATAGCCAGCCTGGACCCCATACAGTGTGCTTCTAGCAGGGTCGTGCTTTTATTGTGAAACCATCTAGATGTTGCAACCTATGTGGAGCAACCTATGTGGTGCAATCTCCGATGTAACATCGATGGTGTGCAATCTATGTGGTGCAATTGATTTCTGTTCGCAGTGAGTTGTCCACTCCACTGCTCGCGCAAACCTCCCACCCACCCACCCGCAACTTGGTTTGCAAAATCTCTTAAGACCGTGACGGTTGGTACCAACTGGCACTTGGCAACGACAGCGACGCCGACGACGACAGCGCCAACGACGACGACGACGCCGCCGACAACGACTACGACGACACCGACGACGTCTCCAACGACTTCGACGACGCCGGCAACGACGACGACGACACTGACGACGACGACGCCGACGCAGACGACGACGACGATGACAACGACGACGACGATGACGACGCCGACGACAACGACGACACCGACGACGACGACGACCACGTCAACGACGCCGACGACGACGACGACGACGATGGCAACGCTGACGACGACGGCGGCGACGACGACGCCGACGTCGACGACGACGAAGACGACGACGACGCCGACGCCGACGACGACGACGAAGACGACGACGACGACGTCGCCAACGAAGACGACGACGAGGGAGGAGGGAGGACGACGACGGCGACAACGACGACAACGACGACAACGACGAGGGAGGAGGGAGGACGGCGACGACGCGAACGACGAAGAAGGAGGAAGGACGGCGACGCCGACGACGACAACGACGAGGGAGGAGGGACGACGACGACGACGACGACGACGACGACGACGGCGACGAAATAGGAGGGACGACGACGAGACGCCGACGACGGACAACGACGACGACGAGGGAGGAGGAGGAAGGACGACCACGGCGACAACGACGACGGAAACGACCACGACGCCAAAGAGGACGACGACGACGAACACGAGGAAAGACAGAGGACGACGTAGGCGACGACGACGACGACGCGGGAGGAGGGAGGACGGCGACGACGACGACGACAACGACGACGCAAGAGCGCGCGCGCACGCTTTTGTTGAAAACCCGTGTTGCGAAACCTTGTGTTTTTGTATGTTTTTTGGACACACGATTTTGAAATCCTTCCGAAACCGATGGGGTTTGAAGGATTTCGGCATACGCGCGCGACGACGCGCGCGTCTGCACTTCGTCCCATTTTTTGCAGAGGATTCTCGCGACGGCACACGCGCAAGGGCGTTCGACAGATTTCGACATGCGCGCGCGCGCGAAGCCCGTTTGGTAGCATTTTGTGAAGATATTGAAAGACCCATGGTTTTCTTAAGATTTCGCAAGAGCTCGCGCGTAAGCTTTTGTAGCAACGCAGTGTTGCGAAACCCTTTGCTTCTGGTTTTTGGAAGCTCGATTGCGAAATCCTTTCGACACCGAAAATGTTTGAAGGATTCCGGCATGCGCGCGCGACGACGCGCGCGTGTGCACTTCGCCCCATTGTTTGCCAGGGATTCGTGAGAAAGCGTTATGCTACAACAAAAGATGTCCCCGCGTATTGTTTTTTACAAGGGAACCTCAGGGGTAGCGATCCCGGTCCCCCTGGGATAGTGCAAATTCATATTTAGGATGGGCATGTGGCCAGAATCATTCATAATTTACATACCCGAAAGGGGGGCGGATAACGCCGGGGGTGGGGTAGAGTCTATTCTTTTTTTAGAAAGGAGAATCTACGTTGTGCAACTTGTGTGGTGCAATCTACGTGGGGCTATAAAGTGGTGCAATCTATGTGGTGCAGTATATGCGGCTCAATTTCTGTGGTGCAATCAATGTTGTGGGATATTTATAATGCAGTCTGTGTTGTGCGGGATCACAAAGCGCACCGCAGGCGCGAACAAAAAGGTGCAATGTATGTGCTGAAATCTATTTGAGCCAATCGATGTGGTGCAATCTATGTGCTGCAATTCACTTTGACTGTCTTGAAGCTGTCCTCTCCACTGCTCGTGCAAACATCCCACCCTCCGACCCGAAACTTGGTCGCAAGACCTCTTGAGACCGTGACGGTAGGTGCCAACTTGCACTTGGCAGCGACACCGACGCCGACGACGACGATGACAACGCTGACGACGACGGCGGCGACGACGACGACGCCAACGTCGACGACGACGAAGACGACGACGCCGCCGACGCCGACGACGACGACGACGACGTCGCCAACGAAGAGGACGACGAGGGAGGAGGGAGGACGACGACGGCGACAACGACGACAACGACGACAACGACGAGGGAGGAGGGAGGATGGCGACGACGCGAACGACGAAGAAGAAGGAAGGACGGCGACGTCGACGACGACAACGACGAGGGAGGAGGGAAGACGACGACGACGACGACGACGACGACGACGACGGCGACGAAATAGGAGGGACGAGGACGAGACGCCGACGACGGACGACGACGACGACGACGAGGGAGGAGGAGGAAGGACGACCACGGCGACAACGACGACGGAAACGACCACGACGCCAAAGAGGACGACGACGACGAACACGAGGAAAGACAGAGGACGACGTAGGCGACGACGACGACGACGCGGGAGGAGGGAGGACGGCGACGACGACGACGACGACGACGCAAGAGCGCGCGCGCACGCTTTTGTTGAAAATACGTGTTGCGAAACCTTGTGTTTTTTGTAGGTTTTTTTGGACACACGATGTTGAAATCCTTCCGAAACCGATGGGTTTTGAAGGATTTCGGCACACGCGCGCGACGACGCGCGCGTTTGCACTTCGTCTTATTTTTTGCAGAGGATTCTCGCGACGGCACACGCGCAAGGGCGTTCGACAGATTTCGACATGCGCGCGCGCGAAGCCCGTTTGCTAGCATTGTGCGAAGCATTTTGTGAAAATCTTGAAAGACCCATGGTTTTCTTAAGATTTCGCAAGAGCTCGCGCGTAAGCTTTTGTAGCAAATCAGCGTTGCGAAACCATATGTTTTTGGAAGGTTTTTGGAAACTCGATTGCGAAACCCTTCCGACACCGAAAATGTTTGAAGGATTTCGGCATGCGCGCGCGACGACGCGCGCGTGTGCACTTCGTCTCATTGTTTGCCAGGGATTCGTGAGAAAGTGTTATGCTACAACAAAAGATGTCCCCGCGTATTGTTTTTTTTTTTTTTTTACAAAAAGGAACCTCAGGGGTAGCGATCCCGGCCCCCCTGGGAGAATGCAAATTCATATTTAGGATGGGCATGTGGCCAGAATCATATATGATTTACATACCCGAAAGGGGGGCGGATAACGCCAAGGGTGGGGTAGAGTCTATTCTCTTTTTAGAAAGGAAAATATACGTGGTGCAATCGAGGTTGTGAAACATTTGTGGAACGAACTATGTTGTAGAATATGCGTCGTCCAATATTTGGTTTGAAAGCTATATTGTTCAACATCTGGTATGCAACCTATGTGCTGCAACATAGGCTGTGTAGTTTGTGTTGTGCCTTTCACGTGGTGCAATTACTTTGATGCAATAGCTAGGGTTGTGCAATAAAGGGTGTGCAATCTATGTTGTGCAACCTATGTCGTGAAAAGTATGATGAGGTGCAATCGATGTTGCCCGCGACCAACAAGTACGCCGCAGGCGCGACTTTTTATGCAAACTACGTGGTGCAATCCAACGTCGGCGACGGGCAACGACGAGGAGGCGACGGGGCGGCGACGGCCGGCACGGAGCCGCCAGACCGAAGACACGGCCCAGACGACGGGCGGCGACGAGGCGGCGACGGGGCGGCGACGGCCGGCACGGAACTGCCAGACCGAAGACACGGCCCAGATACTTGGAGCCGAAGTAAAAACCCCTAAGTGCAAGCACTGTGGGAATAACTAAAATGGAGGAGGGAGGGGGCAGTATGGGGGAGGTGGAGCAGGAGGAGGGGGAAGGATGAGGAGGGGGAGCAGGAGAAGAGGGGGAGGTAGGAGTGGGGAAGGGGGACGGTGGGGAGAAGAAGGGGGAAGGAGGAGAAGGTCCAGGAGAAGGAGGAGGATGAGCAGGGGAGGGGGATGAGGACGAGGTGTAGGAGCAGGGGGCTAAGGTCGACCGAGTCAACGGGCCTCGCCCGGCCCATCTCACAGAGTGAACGGAACAATGGTGGCGCAACTGGATATACGGACAGGGGCGCGTTCCCACCCAGGGAACGGAAGGCGCTGGCGCGCGGTCCCGCTTCCGACACCATGCTTTGGCGAGGGTAAACATGCGGCCTACCCTCAAGCGGCAGCGAAACTTCAAAGAAACTTCAGAGAATCCTTCGGCGGCGCTGCGGCGGCAACACCATTTAGCCCTCTCTCGGGCGAAGGCGAAGCGTGCGCCGAGCAAAAACAGCACTGCCGCTTTCATGCACACTCCGCACGGCGGTTGGAAGAGGACAAAATTTCACCTGCTCTGGCGCGACCCCTCTGCAGCTGCCGTCTTCTTGCGATCCGAAGAGGGAAACATGAGGGGAACGCCACGTCCAGCCGAATCATGCACGCAACTTCGGCGAGGGCGATCAGTCGCCCGCCCTCGCGCGGCCCCGCCCAAAACGGCGTGGCGAGTAAAAATATGCACCCCGTGAAAGCGGGAACGACCCGTTCGACCAAACTCTGCGCGGCGCCGGATCGAGGGCGGCATTCCGTCCGCTCGCGCGCGACCACGCTCTCAACGAACTGGCGAGCGAAAAATATGCGCCGCGTCCAAGCGTGAACTTTCAGGAAAAGTGGGCGCGGCGCCAAAACGATGACGACCTTTCGCCCTTTCGCGCGGGATGTGTATCCAGTCCCACTCCTGCCACGCACTCTGCATCGTCGGCGCCAACCATGTTGACAAAACAACGTCGACTCTGTACTGCTTTTGATTGAGAAGGCGGCTACGTGACACAGACGGGGCACCTACTAATCAGGAATAAGAGCAGGAGTAGTTAGTAGCACTTAGTAATCAAAGCAGGGGGCGGAGCGAGCGTCGTCTCTGTATGGGGGCGGAGGAGGACGCGACATCTGCCTCCCTCTGAGCGGGCGGGGGGAGGCGCGGCAGGGTGGTGGGGCGGGAAGGCAGAATGAGACGGGGCATGGGGCAGGGGGACGACAGCCAGCGGTTCAAAGATGAGACCCTGAGGGATGGGGTCCCAAGGGCAGGAAGCGGATCGCGAGCTGAGCACTCACTGTTCAAGGTCTTCGCCCTCGGGACTCCAACCCTAGAGGCCTACCAAATTGGGTCCGAGTGGATGGGGTCGGAAGATCGCGCCGCATCGCCGATACTTCGCCAATGCCTCGGCGATACATCGCCGACGTCGGCGATGCATCTGCGACTCCAGCGTGGAAAGAGACGGACTCCGCATCGAGACACATCGGCGATGCGGCGCGATCCTCTGGCCCCATCCACCTGGACCCCATCTGTAAGGACCAGAGCCCCTCAGCGCCCATCCCTGAAGCGCCGAGACAGGGCGGAGGACGAGCGGCGTCGGCGGTGGCGGCCCCGGCCTTGGGGTCGAGGCCCGGGGGGGCCGGGAAGGGAGCGCCGCTGGGGGCCTGCATCCTCGCCGTCCGCGGGGGCGTGCGCCTGCTCTGGGCAGGGACCTCTGCGGCAGGGGAGATCTGGGCGGGCCAGCACCAAGCTGGCGCTCCCCCCCCCCCCGACTCCCTTTTCTCCCTCCGTCCCCTTCCCTCCCTCGCAGGCCCTCCCCGCCCCCCCACCCCTGCGTCCTTCCCCCTTGCCTCCCTCACTGTCTCCCTCCCCGATCCTCTCCCCTTCCGTTTTCCCTCTCCTCGCCCTCTCCACCCCGATTTCCGGCGGGGCGACCTTGTGGGCGCAAGGCGGCGAAGGTTTGCGGAAGCCGGCGGGCAGTGCCCCAGTGCCACGAGGCGTCGGGCCTCGAGCCGAGAACGGCGGCTGGGCGCGAGAAGGCTGCGGAGACGTGAGGAAGCTGGAAGCACACGATGGGCTTGTTTTCCACCACCACCACCACCGTAAGTGGGAGGGGGAGGGGGTCCTCCTCCTCCTCCTCCACCTCCTCCTCCTTCTCCTCCTCCTCCTCGTCCTCCTCATCCTTCTCCTCCCCCCCATCCAACTGATGGTGGTGGTGGCGGAGAACAGGCCCATCAGCACAGGCGGCTGAACTCACATGCGGGACGCGCGGAGGCCTCATGCTTGGGGCCGGCGTGCCCAGCCGCAAGGGCCGCAAGGAGAGCCGAGGCGCGAGAAGGACGTGCGGTCAGAGCCACATACAGCGTTCTCGCCCAAGCTTGGCACGTCATGTGTGCCGGGCTTCCTCCTCCTCCTCCTCCTCCTCCTCCTCCTCCTGCTCCTCCTCCTCCTCCTCCTCCTCCCCCTCCTCCTCCTCCTCTTCCTCCTCCACCCCCTGCTCCTCCTCCCCCTCCTCCTCCTCCTCCTCCTCCTCCTCCTCCTCCTCCTCCTCCTCCTCCTCCTCCCCTCCTCCTCCCTCCTCCTCCTCCTCCTCCTGCTCCTCCTCCTCCTCCTCCTCCTCCTCCTCCTCCTCCTCCTCCTCCTCCTCCTCCTCCTCCCCTTCTTGCACCCAAGCCTGCAGCGGGGTCCCCCCTGCGCAGGACCCCATACGTTTTCTGACTCCTCCTGCTCCGCCGCCTCAATCTTGCTGCTTCCCCTTCTCTGGGCTGCGGCCAGGCGTGGGGGTCACTCCGAGTCTCTGCAATGCGGGCGCGAGCTCGCACAGATCCCCCCCCGTCCTGGGCATCGCCGGACCTCACACAGTGAGCTGTTGAACTGTGGATGTGTAGCCTATGCGGGAGGGTACGCGCGGTGCAAGCGACGTGGTATAAGCGGCGCGGTATAGGCTGCGCGGTATAAGCTACGTAGTGCAATCTATGTGGTGGTGCAATTTGCGTGGTGTGCGACATGTGGTGCAAACTACGCGGTGCGCTGTGGGCTATGTGACGCCCACGAGGCGGCGACGGCAGCCCACCAGGTGGAGCCTCGCCCCGCCCGCCGAGCATTTTGGGGCGCCCACGGTCGCCCACCAGGCGACACATCGCCGCACCAAGCAGCAGTGCGAGCAGTGCCTGAGGAATGTGTTCGTCGATGTGTTTACACAGACGCCTGCTTGCATGAGCGTATGCTTACACGTACTTGCGTGCGCGCGGAGATGATGCTCGACGTCGGCGGCGCTCGCACGGGCGAGCGCGAAGGAACACGAGGGTTGCGGGCCCCTCCGCGACCCCAGATCTGGCTCAGGCCGTCGCGCTCCCCAAAGGGTACGCTCCAGCATCCCGAAGTTTTGCTGTCTCTGCGCCACCTTGCTCCCGGCGTCGAGCCCTCGCGCTTTGGCGGAGGCGTTCTCACGGCAGAAGCGGCACGCGCAGGCACTGAGCAGGGAGGGATGCCTGAGGGGCGGGGGGGGGGGCAGGAAGATAGACCTTTGGGCGGGGAGGCAGCAGGGCTCATAGGTTGGGCCGATTGTTCGTTGCATGCGGCACGCCCAGGACTCTGCTTTGCACGACGGCGCAACAGAAGCTGTGTGCAGTTTTGGCTCCGAACGGCAGTGGTGCCTGGTACAAGCAGCTCGCGTTAAGACGCTAAGGAAGAGAACAGGAAGAGAACAGGGAGGAGAAGGAAGAAAAGACAACCGCGGTGTGTGGGCAACCCCGATGGATCTGCGAACAATTTTGAGAACTCGCAATGGATCTGATGGAGGAGTAGGAGGAGGAATGACAGCGGGGAGGAGAAGGGAGACATCACATCGATCCAAGCAAGCGGCCGAAGCTCCAATAGGTACACTCCGTTAGCACTCTGTATGTCGGGCGAGGCTCCCGACGGTACACCCCAACACGACCCTTTGCCATCTGCGGACGAGCGTGCACGCGGGAAAGAGAGGGACGTGAAATAGAGAGCAGCGGATGCGTACCCTACTTTGGCTCTGAGCTGGACCTTCCGAGGTTGCAAGTAGGTCGCCAACAGAGCATCTCCAACACGCTGCCGTGAGTCAGACAAGAAGGGGAGAAGAGGAGACATAGAAGGAACAGTAGGAGAAGAGGAAGAAAAGAGGCTTCGCAGCGCGGGATGCACAAGGGAAAGAAGGAACAACATGACCAGCAAACGTCCTTCAGACTCCAGCCAAAGGGCTACCCATACTCATTCGGCTCTCCGTAGCCATTTTGGCTCAAGCCGCTGCGCCCCCAACATTTTGGCTCTATGTGCTAGCTCAACGCGCCGGCTGCCTGGGGCATGCAAGTGGCTCACGGGACGGGTTGCCGCGCAGGCGATCCAAGGAGGAGCAGGGCGCAGAGGACGGCCGCTGTGCGACGGGCTCGGGAGAGCGCGGATGCTGCCATACGACACCTCCAGGCCCAGCTGGCCACGGCGAAGCTGGTCATCGCGCGGCTGGAGATGGAGTCGCGGGCCTTCCGCGTGGAAGTCACTGACGAGCTGCAGGCGCGGCTCATGCTGATTGCTCCCGCGCTGCAGGCCCAGATCCACGACGTCGAGGTGCCCATCGTCGTGCGCATGAGGCGCAACGCGGCCGCCCATGTTTTCGATGTCCCCGCGGTGGCTATCGCGGAGACGTCTCAGCGAGAGCTCAACGCCATGCAGCGGAGCCGCTCCTGGGCGTGCGGTTCTGGTGCGGAGGCTCGTGCTCCAGGCGTGTGGCAGCCCCTGGGCCCCTCCGCCGTGGTCGAGGCCGCAGCCGCGCCGACCGTGGAGGTGCCGTTCGTGGAGTCGGCCATGCGCGAGGTTTCGCCTGTGTTCGTCCCCGTGGCGAACGCTTGGGAGCCGCTGCCACCGCCTCCCGCGGGCCCTGCGGCAATCATCGGGCCCCTGTGGGGGATGACTGCCCTGCCCGCGGCCGCGGCCCCTGCCGCTGCTGCACATCGCGACGCTGATGGTGAAGGTCCTGGCGCCGCTGCTCGCGCGTGGGTGCCCGCGGGCTTGCCGCGCGACCCTGGCGAGGGGCTGCTTTTCGCCAACGGCTCGGCTGCAGCAACGGACCCCTCTACATCCACGCCTTCAGCTAAAGGGTTGTCGCTTTCTCGAGTCGTGGCCTGCGACTCCGAGGATGACGGTTTGCTGAACGAGTACGACCTCTCCGACTTCGATGTTTAGCTTACAAGCACCCTGCCGTGCAACATCTTTTCTCGAATATTATTCGCATTGTCCTGCGCCTGGCTTCAGTGCGGCCTTCCTTTTTTGCGGCTAGGTGCTTCCTGGTAGTCTTACTGTATGTGGCGTCCTCCGCGATCCACTGGATACGGGCGCCAGGCATTCGTCTCAATTAGTAGTGAAATGGTGTGCCCCACGAGGGTGTGTGCTGAAGTGTAGCTTTTGCACATTTTCAGCTTCCGTCAGAGATGGTCGCTGCTGCTCTGTCGGTTTTTCTCGATCAGTTTAGCTCAGTCAGTCTGTGCTACTGCTCACTCGCAGCTGGAGCCCTATAAAAAAACATACTCATTCGGCTCGTCCAGGGCAATACCCCAGAGGCGAGACGGGACGAGCCCACGGAGTCCATATCAGTCAACTGACCTTTAGTTGGCCTCCCTGCCGAGGCTTCTGGGGATGAGAGGCTTCGCCCAAACGCGAACAGAAACTCTGACGGAGAAAACCGCTGCTCGCTCCACGCGGGAGGCGCCCGCGGGGCACGCATCCCCAAACAGAGCAGGAGAGAGGGGAGAGGGCGGGAGGGATCGAGAATCTTCTTTCTTGTGAGGGAGGGAGGGAGAGGGAGGGAGAGGGAGGGAGAGGGAGTCAAGAAAGAGACGGAGCGCTGAATGCCCTGGCTCTGGTCTGGGCCCCCTCAAACTTGTCATGGAGCTTGGCCGCTTCCGCTCAAGTGGCCAGCCCTCCGCAGCGTTGATGGGGAAACTAAATTTCCCTCCGCGGCATGGGTACCTTCTCCTCCTCTGAATTGATCGGGGCGCTCCCCTCGCTGTTCGGAGGTCTTCTGGCCCGGGTCAATCTAGACCCAGGTCAATCAGCCCTTGCAGACCTGCAGGATCCTGCGTCCAAGCCCAGCTCAATGCACCCCTGGCCCTGCAAGATCCTGCAACTGCAAGATCCTGCAAGAGCCGGCGCTCTGACTGACCCCCGTTTGCATTGACCCACGTGTCTTGAGCCCCGAGCCTTCCTCTCTGAGCTTGGCCCAGGGCCCTGCCTCGCCAGCGTCGACCCGCGCTAGAGCCGCGCCACCACGGCCCCTCCGAGCACCACGGTCGCCGCCCCGCCCCGAGCTGGGCCGTCCGTCGGCAGCCTCGCTCTGGCCCTCCCCCACCCCGGCCTCGCACGCCGAGGAGGACTCGCACCGCTGCTGCACCAGACATGATGAGGCAAATTACGCTACCGAGGAACCCCACATACTGATTTTATGTCTTGTGTGAACCGCGCTACCACTACCACCGCCGTCATGCTCTCAGGTGCCCCCTGTGGTCGTTGAAAGGAGGGGGAGGACGTGTGGGGGGAGAGGAGGGGTTGAGGAGTCATCTGTGACGGTCATATCCAGCGTCTCCTGGCACTTGGATACGAGAGGTAATACGCAATCCCGCACTAGAGGCTATGCCTAGACGACCCTGGCACTCATCGGGAGACCACCCCCTGCGCACCCCCTCTGGTGTTGAGAAAATGCCACACCTGCAATGCCTGGACGACCCTGGCACGCATAGGGAGACCACTCCCTGCGCACCCCCTCTGGTGTCGAGAAAATGCCACGCCTGCCACGCTCTCCGACCCTGGCACGCATAGACGCCGCGGTGAGAGACCACGCCTGCCACGCTCTCCGACCCTGGCACGCATAGACTGGTGCGAGAAAGTGCCAGAGCTCTCCGAGAGACGCGCACCCCTGCGCACCCTCTCTGGTGTCGAGAAAGTGCCACGCCTGCCACGCTCTCCGACCCTGGCACGCATAGACGCCGCGGTGAGAGACCACCCCCTGCGCACCCCCCCTGGTGTCGAGAAAGTGCCACGCCTGCCACGCTCTCCGACCCTGGCACGCATAGACGCCGCGGTGAGAGACCACCCCCTGCGCACCCTCTCTGGTGTCGAGAAAGTGCCACGCCTGCCACGCTCTCCGACCCTGGCACGCATAGACGCCGCGGTGAGAGACCACCCCCTGCGCACCCCCCCTGGTGTCGAGAAAGTGCCACGCCTGCCACGCTCTCCGACCCTGGCACGCATAGACGCCGCGGTGAGAGACCACCCCCTGCGCACCCTCTCTGGTGTCGAGAAAGTGCCACGCCTGCCACGCTCTCCGACCCTGGCACGCATAGACGCCGCGGTGAGAGACCACCCCCTGCGCACCCCTCTGGTGTCGAGAAAGTGCCACGCCTGCCACGCTCTCCGACCCTGGCACGCATAGACGCCGCGGTGAGAGACCACCCCCTGCGCACCCTCTCTGGTGTCGAGAAAGTGCCACGCCTGCCACGCTCTCCGACCCTGGCACGCATAGACGCCGCGGTGAGAGACCACCCCTGCGCACCCTCTCTGGTGTCGAGAAAGTGCCACGCCTGCGCACGCTCTCCGACCCTGGCACGCATAGACGCGGTGAGAGACCACCCCCTGCGCACCCTCTCTGGTGTCGAAAGTGCCACGCCTGCCACGCTCTCCGACCCTGGCACGCATAGACGCCGCGGTGAGAGACCACCCCCTGCGCACCCCCCCTGGTGTCGAGAAAGTGCCACGCCTGCCACGCTCTCCGACCCTGGCACGCATAGACGCCGCGGTGAGAGACCATTCCCTGCTCATCCCCCTGGTGTCGAGAAAGTGCCACGCCTGCCACGCTCTCCGACCCTGGCGCGCATAGACGCCGCGGTGAGAGACCACCCCCTGCGCACCCTCCATGGTGTCGAGAAAGTGCCACGCCTGCCACGCTCTCCGACCCTGGCACGCATAGACGCCGCGGTGAGAGACCACCCCCTGCGCACTCAGCTAAGCTGAGCCGAGCTGTGCTGTGCCGTGCTGTGCTGAGCTGAGCTGAGTGAGGTGAATGAGCGCGGGTGCGGCGCGGCAGGGAAGAGAAGGAGAGGGAGGAGAAGGAGGAGACGCGGGTGAGACGCGGAAGGGAAGAAAACCAGAACCCCACGAAGCATGTGGGGAACAAGAACCTCTAACCCATAGCTCGATGAAGACAAGCGCGTTCCACTACTCGCAGAGTAACTACTCGCAAATGACCAGGATCCACCGCGGTGGATCTGCGATCCATCTCATCGGGGCAAGCATGTGTTTATCGGGCGTTTGCGAGTCGGCATTTGCGAATAGTGGAGCGCGCTCGGTGATGCACGACCTCCAGGGCCTGGCCAGAGCTGACCTCCACGTGAGGGGCCAAACTGCCGTCGTCCTCGTGGAGCTCCGCGAGGGCGTCACGGAGGACCCGGCAATACGATGCGCCACCGCACTCTGTGCTCTCCTGGCACAAGATCTCGCAGCCGTTGCTCTTGTGCTCGCACCCCTCGTCGTCGCCGGCGCAGGCGGCACCGGCCCTGCCGTCTTATCCGTTAGCTTGATCGGCAGCGACGTAGCCAAGGCACGGAGCTTAATCAGCGCCGACGAACTCGCACTTGCACAAGCGTTCAGCCGAATATCCCAGATACCTGTTACATATGCTCTTCCTGTCAGATACGTAGGATTTGATGGCTTTGTTTTGGTTCGGTATGTCGACAGGGGACTCATTCATGTTTGTGGTGCTCCAGGTGTTGCACTCGAGCAGAGCAAGTTGCTCCACCCAACCTCGACACAAGCCCCGACGGAGCACCACAAGTTTCCATGCGCGTTGCACCGAGCTCGCCACTGTACCACACCGCCGCCTCGCCCCCCGCGGGGGCCAGGCGGGCCAGCGCGGCGACTGCGAAGATCCTCGCGCAAGGCCCGGCCCGTGGGCCTGAGGCTGGGGTGGCGCAGCCGTGGCATACGATGCCTCGCGGTGCGGCCTCGAACCGCTGGCGCCAAGATGGCTACAGATCTGATATCCCGAAGATGATGGGAGTCGGCTGACACTTCCTCCGCCTCCTCCTCCTCCTCCTCCTCTTCCTATCCTCCTCCCCTCCTCGTCACCATCCTCCCCATCCTGCTCCTGCCCTTCCTCCTCCTATTCCTCCTCCTCCTCCTCCTCCTCCTTCTCCTCTTCCCCTTCCCCTCCTCTTCTTCTCCTCCTCCTCCTCCTCCTCCTCCTCCTCCACCCCCTCCCCCTTGCCCCTCCTCGCCTCACGCGCATCGCGCCTCGCGGCCACCGCTCCTCCCGGGACCGCCCGTCGTCGTCGTCGTCGTCGTCGTCGTCGTCGTCGTCGTCGCCGTCGCCGTCGCCGTCGCCGTCAGAGCGCGGGGAGCCCACGCGCACGCGCGATCGCGGGCGCCTCCCGCGGGCCGAGGCCCGCGTCGTCCCCGCCGCCGCGCTCCGGGGCGCCGCCGCTGGAGCGGAGCGGGGGGGGGGAGGGGGGCCGAGCTGAAGGTCAGAAGGTCAGAGCTGCCGGCTCGCCGCAGCGCGGGTGGGATGAGAGGGAGGGGGACGAGGGGGATGGTGAGGAGGGGGATGATGAGGGGGAGGAGGGGGATGATGAGGAGGAGTGGGGGCTGTGCTACAGACAAGGAGGCAATCGTCCTGTATATTCAGTGTGTTCGACATTTGGCGAAAAAACTGGGGCGGGGGGGGCAGTCTGAGTCTGGGCCAAGGCTGAGTCTATCTGCTCCTACTGGTCCCGAAGGCAGGCTTGGGGGGGAGATTCTGACCGGTCGCCAAAGGCAGCCGCCAAAAGCAGGCAAAATGTGTTCTTGAGGGGGGTGTCGGGGACCGCGCCGATCGGCGAAACAGCTACAAGGCGGTCGGGAACTTTTGCTTAGTGCGTTACCGCGTTGGCCTCGGTGACGCACTATGCCCTGCGAGCGGACAACGTGTCGATCCGCTCCGTGTGGAGGGAGGCTCGGGACAGCTCGGGACGTTGACAACCGGCGACTGGGACGTGGACAGCGTGCTGCGCCTCAGCGTGGTCGGCCAACACCGGTAGAAACACGCTGCCTCAAAGTTCTGGCCGTGTACAATTTGGTGCAAAACGCTGTTGAGTGACACCGGGGGGCGACGGCGCATCATCATCATCCTCATCATCACCATCACCATCACCATCACC